CTCGTTCACACCAATTTTTCATTTAACAAAATTTCCCAGCCAATTTTTCACGCTTTTTTGGGCTTTTCGCTTCCAAAAGAGCTTCAAGTAGTTCACAAGCATTCTTTACTTATTAAAGTAAATAATTGGTTATTTGAGTCTAGCAAGTAAATTTAATTGTTCCAAGGGTTTTGTAAGGCCCTTAAATAGAGAGGCATCTGAAAACTACTTTGAATTAGATTTACTGACCGTTAGGGACCACAAATGCTGCTAAATGACTCGTTTTTAGGTCCAAATTAATTTTACTATTCAGACTCTAATATCCCCATAACACCTTTTCCTTCTCATTTTCACACCAATTTTCCCTTTTCTAAATTTAACACCTTTTGGAATGTAGTGTCTGAAAATGTAGTGTCTATCGCCTAGTGTTTACTCTAGTGTCTGACTCCCCTTACAACAAATAAAGGGAAGTAAGAATGCATGTGCGGAAAAAGGGAAAAACAGAACGGTAGAGTACGAAATTATCTCGGGTTAGGGTTCGAATTTAGACATAATTTTTATGTCAAAAAAAGCTATAAAATATCAAATCAAATCAAATCAAATTTATACGCATCAGCGCGACGATTTCAGACAATAATGTTATGATAAAACAAATAAAATAAATAAACGTAAACAAACGATTTCCTTAACATAATTTAAAAATTGTAAAAGTGTCTTTTAAGGTGATTTGGGAGTGAGTCAATAAATTGGGATATAGATATAAAATACAAAATATCTATAAAATCTGTCGACTTAGTAAAAAATTATTGAGTTTTCAAATAGTATTTCTTAGTTGAAACACCCTGTATTAAGTAGTACAAATCAAATTTGTTTTTTACAAAAAAAAGAATGGAGTGTGAAAAAACAGGATTTTGACAAAAATGTGTTTGCTTTTATTTTAATAAACCGTTAATCTTAAAAATTAAATTAGGTATATTTTGTATTTTCTCAAAATTCTGATTTTTTGTATTTTTAATTCTGTATTTTATTCCTTTGCTGAAGCTTGAATAATTCTGATTTTAATTGAATAATTTTCATTTGTGTTTTCTTCAAAATTCTGATTTTTATTTCATTTTATAATTCTGGTATGTGTTTTACATTCTACTTATAAAATCAGAATTTTTAATTTTTTCCCTTTTTGTATTTTTTTCAAATCGGAATTTTAAATTTTTTATTTGTGTTTTATTAATTCTGATTTTATTTATTCTTTGATGAAGCTGGAATAATTCTGATTTTAATTGAATAATTCTGATGTGTGTTTTCTTCAAAATTCTGATTTTTTGTGTTTTTTCAAGTTTTGTATTTTATTTGTTTAAATTTAATTCTGATTTTTATTTAATTGAGAATTCTGATTTTTGTGTTTCTTCAGGTTCTTTTCTTTTTTATGTATTTTCCTCGAATTCTGATTTTAATTATTTGAACAGTTTATTCTAGTTGACTTTTGGGTCATCTATATATTTATAAAATACTTGTACTAATTTACAATTTATTTTTATTTCCGTGACCCATCAAAAATTTATTTATAATTTATTTTCTTTTATTAAAATTGGCTCCAATCCCCCACCGTCCCAGGAGAAAACACACACAAAATTTAAGCAAATTTATTTTTATCGGAGTGAAGAAAAAATAGTCATACAAAGAGAAGCACATCTTCTTCCCCTTTTTATTAAAAATACTTTTTAAGGATTAATTCTCAACAACAAACACACAAATTTGTGTGTGTTCGTTTTTAAAGTTTAAACAAACCTTTTATTATTCTCACTTGGGGATTAAATTTTTATTTTTATTTATTTTCTGTTGCGCATGAATGCTACAAACAAAAATAAAAAGAAAAATATATTAAAAAGATGTTAAAATGCTGAAAAAAGAAAATTCGCAACATTTATTTGTATTTTTATTAATTTTTTTGACCATTTTTGTTTGCATTGACCAATTAGTAATAATATTATACCCAAATGATCAACAAAGGTTTTAATAATTCTGATATCTAATTTGAAAATCAGAATTTAGTTGTTAAATTAAAAATCAGAATTTAGAAAATAATTCAGAATTTTGATTTGTAAAAAGTTTTTAAAAATCAGAATTTTAAGAATTCAGAATCTTTAAATATCAGAATTTTTAAAAACAGAATTTTGACAAATCAGAATTTTTGCAAATCAGAATTTTTGCAAATCAGAATTTTTGGAAATCAGAATTTTAATTAAAAATTAAAAAACAGAATTTTAAGAATTTAGAATCTTTAAAAATCAGAATATTAAAAATTCAGAATTTAAAAAATCAGAATTACAATTAAAATCGAAGAAAATCAGAATTATTAAAAACCAGAATTTAATAAAGAAACAACCCAGAATTCTGATAATTTTTGTTACACAAACAAGAATCAATTATAGAATCAGAACTTTTCAATAATTTTCATTAAAATAGGTGAAAAAGGGTGTAGCATACTTAAGAAAGGTGTACTCATACACAGATTCAAAATTTTATTTTTAATTAAAAAAAATTATTTCATTTTCTTATTGTTTTCTTCATTTCTTCTCCTTCCTCACAAATTTTTCCTCATTTTCTATAAAATATAAAAAAAACTTGTCCTTGAACCGAATTCTTTAAGTGCGCGTAACAAACAAAATAACCGCTTTTTAATTTAATTTTTCCTCTTTTTACCTTGGCATTTATATGTATGTCCAATCTTTACATAAATCTACTCAAATGATCTTTTCTCAATTATTCTTTGAAAATTATTACACTTACATATTTCTGATTTGATCTGAAATTTTGATTCTTCCCTTTTATTTTTTTTGAATTCTGATAGAAATTCTGATTCCAAAATTCTGATTTAAAATTCTGATTCTAGAATTCTGATAAAATATTCTGATCTAAATTCAGAAAATTCTGATATAATAAATCTGATTCCAAAATTCTGATAGAAATTCTGATTCAAAAATTCTGGTTTCAAAATTCTGATCCTGGAATTCTGATAAAAATTCTGATTCCAAAATTCTGATTCTGATTTAAAATTCTGAAAATTCTGATTTTAAAATTCTGATTCCATAAATTCTGAGTTTTAAATTTGACTAACAAAATACGTTCTGATTTTTCAGAATTTTAATTTCTGATCCCTTTTATTCTGAAATTTAATTCCGTTTTAATTTTTATTTTTCTAAATTCTGATTTCAATTTTCCTTTTTACAATTTAATAATTTCCCATTATTATTTTTACAATTTCTGATTTTTATTTTTTTTGGTTGTTGTTTGCTTGCGGCCTCTAGAAGTACATTTATTTTTATTTCCCCTTTTTTCTCTCAAATACGCGCGCTATTGCCGTTATTTATTTTTTTTGTTAGAAATTTTTCTCTTGGTTATCGCATCCCCGGATCAGTTAAACAACCAAACTTTACATAATCTTTTTTTTCATTTAAATTTATTCCCCCTTTACTTTTTTTCTTTCCCATCGTCCCAATTCCGTTGCTTTTTTTGCATTGGAAAAATCGAAGGAATTTTTTTATTTTTTAAATTAACTAGCTTTTAATTTAAAGAATTTATTGGAATTATTTACAAGAACAATAAATGACCGGAAAATTTTATTTTATTTTAATTAAGTGGTCACAACGTATTTTATTTTAAATTATGAACGAGAAAAATTTTTTATTCTTTTGTTTCATAATTATTAATTTTTTAATTTTATTTTTCTAAATTTTCTATTTCTCGTTTTAAGCCCATTTAAATATTTATTTTTATATATTAACCATTAATTAAGCCTATCCCCGTGTGTTTGTCATCACCTATTAAAATGAATCAGAATTGAACAAACTTCAGAAATTTTATTTGTTTTTATAGATGTTCGTTTAAATGTTTTTGATAAATTCTGATTTGTTTTTGTGTTTTTACAAACATGTTTTTTTAATTTAATTCAGTTATTCTGGTTTTTGTTTTTGGAATATTCTGATTTTTAAACTTTCATTTGTTTTTCTAAATGTTCATTCAATGTTTTTATTAAATTCTGATTTTGTTTTTAGATGTTTTAATTGTTTTCAATTGTTCTGATTTTGATGTTTTTATTAAATTCTGATTTTTTGTCAATGTTTGTTGTGTTTCTCTCAATTCTTTTACAAACACAACAATTTATTCAACAATTACAAACATATCAAAACATCATTTTTATTTTTTAATTAATACACTAATTCCATTACTTACATGCCCAATATTTATTTAATCAATTAATTCTCTAATTAATTTTTTGTTTAAAATATCCTAAAAATAACCTCAAATCTCTTCAAATATCCCTAGAAATTTTTTTTTCTCAATTTTTGTTTTAATATAATTAAAACGGGGAGGATTATTGAATAAACACAAGTGGAGGGAATGAATACTTTTTTTTTAAAAAAATTGAGGAAGACGAATTGGCCTTGGGAAGAGGGTTGAAGAGGCAAAATTGAGGGAAATAAATAAAAAAATATTTCGATTTAAATGTTTGGATGTTTTTTTATTTTTCTTAAGACTTTTTAGACAAACTAAACAATGTTTCTATAAAATTCTGATTTGTTTTTAATTGTTTTAAAGATGTTCTGATTTTTCTATTTTAAATTCTGAGCTTTATGTTTTATTTGATTCAGCTTAATTCTGATTTTAATTAGAGAAAATTCTGTTTTTTGAGCTGTTTTATTTGTTTTTCTGATGCTCATTCAATGTTTTTATTGAATTCTGATTTGTTTTGAAGTGTTTTCAGTTTTTCTGATTTTAATGTTCTTAGAATATTCTGATTTTTGTCAATGTTTGTTTTTTCCCCGGGTTTTCTACAAACACAACAATTTATCTCACAATTACAACAATACAAACAAACAATATAAATATTACAAACATAGATTTTTAGGGGAAACATAGAAATATATCTTAACAACACTTTTAGGTAAGTATATTAGGGTGATATAGAGAAATACATAGGTGCGTATATTTTTGAGAGAAAAACATGTGGAGTTCGTTATTATTCTGACTTTTCTCTTCAACACCGTCATCTTTCGGTTTATTAGTTTATCCTATCCTGAACACATCTGCTTCTTTTATAGTCCTCCCGTCACTTGCGCTGGCCAGCCTTCGGCTTCTCCTTCATCTTCGTTTTCTCGTCCACCTTCGTCTTCGTTTTCTCGTCCACTTTCGACTTCGTTTTCTCGTCCACCTTCGTTTTCTCTTTCGTCTTCTCGTCCACCTTCGACTTCGCTACAGTCGAGACTCCTCCTTTACCGCTCTTCAGCGGATCAGCCTAAAAATTTAGAAAAATTTTTCAAAAATTTTTTTATTCCCAACTACCTTCTTTTTATTAACTACAAAGCAGATGAATACAGCAACAATCAGAGCAACGACAAAAAGCACACCACCGACGACATACACCCACACCATGTTATTGCTTGGAGGTTCCGTTGTTGTTGTCTTCTGTGTTGACTTTACAGTGGGTTTTACAGGTGGCTTTGTGGGCTGTGTTTTTGGCTCGTCGGGCATAGTTTTTGGGTCGGCAACCAAAAGTTTGTAGTCAGTCTTGTTCTTAAAAAAGTTATTATTTTTACAAATAAAGCTAGACTCCTTACGAATTGAATGTAGAGTTGGTCACACACTGGATCTTTAGGTTCGAACAAGTTGTTGACTTGCATAGAGTTTAGAGGAAGCAGGTAGAAGGTAAGTAGACGATTATAGCTTTGGTCTTTAGATGGATTTGACCCGTTGACCTTCCAAGTGCGAGGTTGGGCAATACCTTCGGCAAGGCAGAAAATATCTTTATTCTCCGCATAATTTCGACTATTTCTGTCGTCACCCTCCAATCGAATACCGAATTCGCCATCATATACTATGTACACTATAAGATTTTTGAAAGTGCCAACAGTTTGTGACGCACTCCACGAACGGACTAGACCAACTAAAAAATTAATTTTAGGCAATTATGAGTACAGTCTTACTCGGTTTGACATGAGTTTGGGCTTCTATCTCACTAGAGCCACCAAATTTAAAACAAATGTTCCAAGCAATCGCAAGAGAGGTCCACTGCATGCAACGTTTTATACCCTGACGTGTACAATGCTCATCCACACATTTCTCTCCCCCGTCGCCATAGACCGGACCTTTCTTAAGCTTCGTGATGTTTTCTTTAGTTGTGCTGTAGCTGTAGGCGAAGGGAATTCTAAAAAGAATAGAAAATGATAAGTTATGGAGAGAATAAACTAACAGATTATATTCAATGTTTTTCTGATTATCCCCATTGTGTTCTAATTCATTTCCACAAAGTTTCAAGCACGACGCAATCTCATCTTTGTTTTTCACTCCAACACTGAACTCGATGTAGTCCGAATGTTTTGTGAGCAGGTCCAACGCGCAACCATTTTTCTTTGTGTTCTCGTTCTTGGCTGCGTTTTTTCCCTTGTAGTAGACCACACTAAAATAAATGTTTTTCAAAAATTTGTAAAGTAAAACATGCAAAAACTCACACATTTCCATCGTCATTAATTCTAACATCACAGGATCCTGCGCGCTCCGTGTACTTTTTGATGTTGTCTTCGTCGGCAACATCGGAGCCAGCAGCGAGCGTGACTTGACCATCCTTCAGAGTGTGATCGTAGAATCCAATGGGGCCATTGTACTCACAGTTGACCTGTCCAAGCAGCACAAGAACAAAGAGAGTCGAAGCAAAGAGCGTTGGCAAGATTGTGGTAGCCGAGCGCAGAGTTGTCGAAGCCTTTCTCGTTCCAGGTCCGTCGTCGAACCAGAAGAGCATGACGACTTGTTGTTGCTTGTAGAGAACGTCGATTGAAGAATTACTTTGAAGAAAGTTGTTGATTGGTGTAGAATGGAGAAAATAAAGGCTTTTATAGTAAAACTTTTTTATTGTTCAACACAAAATTCAACACAACAACAACCTTCCTAACACGAGATTAAGACAAGTTCAAAACCTATCCAACAGCATCTTTGTCTTTCTTCATTCAACAACATCGTTGTCAAACAAGCTTGGCTAACAATGTTTTAAATTGTGCGTTAGAAAAGCTTATTAATTTGTTACACGAAAAAATGAATTTAACATGCTCAATTTGTTTGTAATTTTTGTTGATTATGTATTCATAACAGACATTCCATTTTTTAAAAATTATTTCTCTATACCTTCCGAAAATTTCCAAAAAAATTTTCGTCTATTTTTTCTTATACCTAACTTATACCAAGAGCTTGGCTAAGAATGTTTTAAAATGTGTGTTAGAAAAGCTTATTAATTTGTCATACGAAAAAAAGTCTTTTTTGTTGATAATTCATAATTTTTGTTGATAATTCATACATAACAGACATTCCATTTTTTAAAATTTTTTTCCTATACCTTCCGAAAATCTTCAAGAATTTATTCTTCTTTATTACTCTTATACCCAACTAATTATCAATTAAAAAAATTTTTTTTATAAAATTTATTTTTGGGAACGTCGGCATATCCTTTTGTTCGTCCACAAATTATATGCCCTCAGGCTATTTAAAGTTTAGTTTTTTTCCCTAATCTTGTAAAACCTTCTCAAAACCCTTATAATCTTTTCTAAATAGGGCTTATCCCCGATCCCTTCTAATGATGATTTTTAAGCATTTCCCGTCCTCGATCCGACTACGTCTATTCTTTGACATCCCCGTTCCTTGAAAAAATTCTTCACCGACGGGTTTTTTGAAAATGTTCTCCTCCGCCTTATTATTAGTTACTACTCATTAGGAGTGTGATGTTGCGGAGTTAGAATGTTGTGGAGCAGGCCAGTACTTCAAGCTTTAAGTACCGCAGCTGTCGAATTCGGGACACTCTGGTATAGTTCGATGCAACTCGACGAGCCGAAGTGAATCATATTAGGGCATCGCGTGGTCGAGTATGGGATTTCGAGTTTTTCAGCTAATCGTACTTCTACGTCCTACTACTTTTAATTATTTTTCCCTTCTTTCCCAATATTTCCCCCCTATTTTCCCTTCCTCTAAACCCTTTTAAACATAATTTTTCTGAATAAAATACGCTCCTTTATGCTTGTAAATCTATTAATTTTCTCGTCTCTTTTTTCTTTGAAAAAAAAACTTTTTTTGTTTATTATCTATCCGCGGTTATCATCAAAAAAATATTTTTTATAAATAATTATCTAATAATAATAATTGGTTTATTGGCTCTCGTCGGCATTTCTTTATTTATTTTTTAATATCATTAATAATAATCTATTTATTAACCAATGGGTAATTTAAGGGTATAAGTATTTATTAAGGGCCTTCCAAGAATAAATATGTAAATGTTAAAGTCAAAAAAAAATTTTTTTTAGAAGTATGCTTCTGAAACGGGGTTTTTTGAAAGACTCTTGATTTTCCTTCAACTATAAATTTTTTGAAAATTTTTTAGAAAAATAAAAATTTTTCTGGAAAAAGCTAAGGAATATTTTGATTGTAGTTTTGTTTAAAATTTTTTGTAAAAGAAGCAAAAAACTTTAGCATAACATGCTTCGTCGTTTCTGTAATTGAAGCATTCTTATTGTTAGCCACAATACTATCATTGTTCAAAAAAATGTTGCCGCTTAATTTCGGCTCATTTACAGAAACGAGAAAATCATGCTTTTGTTTTCTACTTCAGTTTCAAGAAAAATTAAAAACTTTCCTTTGGCCTCCATTTAAAAATTAAAAACTGGCTTGCTTCTGTCTAATGAAACTTTCTTTTTAAAGTTCCAGAAGCATGCTTCTATTTTATAAATAAATACCTAATTGTTTACTCCAACAATTTTAACTTTCTTTCCAAAAAATTTTATTTATTGTAATAAAATACCTTTTAAATATCTATTAAAATAGTCTTTATTATTCACTAAAAATATATTTTTATTTACTTGTTGTGGTCATTTTATAGGGGGAAATTGATGAAAAGAGAGTAGAAATTATTTATTAAGTGATCATCTCTCCTCGCGCGACGGGCGTACTTTCTCATCCTTTCTATAAATTTAAGGTATTAAAGATTTTGTTTTTGGAATATATTAATTGTTTTTGATGTTTTTTAATGTTTTTTGGAAGAATTTGAAGGAATTAGAATTTTTTGGATTTAACTTAAATTTTTTGTTTGTGGTTCAATGTTTGTTTTAATGTTTGGGGGAGCTTTGCTTCTGCCTCCAGAATTATTTTAGTTTTCTGTTTCTGATTTTATTTTCTGTCTTATTTTGTAGCAAATTAAATCCTCTATTTAATCAGAGAAAAATATTTTTCAAAAAATTTTCTTCTTCAAGTTATTCGAATTTAATACTGTCGCGTTCACTCCAATATGAGGGGTGTAATCAGCTTGCTTTTGCTTTCATAACTATTTTATTTTTATGTCCTAAATTCTGCTTTCTGTCTTATTTTGTAGCAAATTATATCCTCTATCTAACCACATAAAATAATTTTTAAAAAATTTTTAGTTTTTAAGTCGTTTGAATTTAAGTCTGACACCTTCCCCCTTGTAAGGAGGGTAGTAAGTTTGCTTCTGCTTCCATAATTTATTAATTTTTTTGTCTTAAGTTTTAATTTTTTTTTATTTTGTAGCAAATTAAATTCTCTATTTAACCATTGAAAAATATTTTCCAAAAAATTTTCCTTCCTTAATTTATTTGTATTTATGTCTGACGGGTTCCCGTCCAAGTGCCATTCTCCATAACTCAAAAACTATTGAACCTATAAATAAGTTGATTATACCAATGGATAGAGAAGAAAATTAGCTACAAAATTTGCTTCATTTCAAAATTTTTTATTGAAAACCAAAAAAGTTGTGGGTAAAAAACTAGTATTGCATTGAAGAAAAAGTCGAATTATAGTTGAGATTTCCATCAGAATTTTTTTCAAAAATTAATTTAAAATTTTATTTTTATTTTTAATATTCTCTATTTATTTTATAAAATAAAAAAAATATTTTTTAAAGTACAAAAAATTCAAAAAAATTTCATAAAAAAAAATTCCGCCCTACAAAACTAGGCGTTTATTTACACTAATTTCCCTTCTCTTTTTCTCTTCCAACTTTTTTTTAAAAAATTCTGATTTCTGATCGCTTCTTTTTTGCTAAAAACAAATAAAAACTTTGTTTAAACCCTATAATTTATTTATTAGCTTGCTTTCCAATTTTTTTCTAATTAATTTTATTTTTGATTGGTTTAATTTTAAATTACTGTAAATTAAGCTAGGTTAATTTTGCTTCACTTATAACTACACCTTTTTACTGATACGCCTCTATTTAAGATAAATTTATTTAAATTTGGTTGATCACTAGATGAGGATACCCCCCAATTAAGCGTACCCCCTAATTAAGATATACTCTTTTATACATAGAACCTCGTTATGAATTATTTTGACCAGGCATTAGCGAAACTCCAAATTTTTTCAAGCTTAACGAAACAAAACAAAAATTTTTTTAAATCGTTTTGTGAACGAAACTAGACGAAACAACAAGAATCTAACGAAACCTTAAAAATCATTTGAAACATAAGAAACAACGAAACTTTCCCCCATGTCTGATCCTGACAACTAGAACACTCTATTTCAGCTACATTATGCTAAATTGGGTTGGCACTTGTTATGGGGTCTGTCTAAGCGATACCTCCTATTTAATAGACCTCATTATAGGGTATTTATTTTTTACTCTCAAGGGTGTATCTTAACGTGATGTCCGGCTCTATATAAAGGCAGCACCCCCCACTCTTTTGTCCCGACTCCGACCCTTTAGTCTCTAATAACGAGAGTTGATTCTATAGAGGATTCTCAAACAATGTAGATTTTTCTTTCCTTTCGTAGTCATTAAAATAAGTAAACAATTACTCAACTTAAAGTTGCTTTAGGCAAAGGAAAAAAAGAAATTATTACATAATTAAAGTAAACATTCCTTGTTTGCCGGATATAAACAAAAATAACAATGCTTTAAATTAATAACTTTGACTAATCTTTTTTCTTATTTCATTTTCTGTTTGTTTGTTTTTATTTTTATTCTCGTTATTTTTTAAATTATTTTTTAACTTTTTTAACTAGGGAAAATGAGCGTCTGTTAGATGAACTGACCAAGCTCTAAATTTTATATCTCTTGAAGGAGTAAATATTTTTAAGAGTTTTTGGTGTCATTCGATAGAGAATTAAATTGTCTATAAAACTGCCAAAAATCAGAATTTTCTGATATGATAGAGAAAAGTTATGACCAGAAAACTGACATTTTTCTGTAGAAAATGGACACATTTTAGTTAGTTTTTGGCCCATAACTTTTGTTCTAGGTAATCTAAAATTCCAATTTAAATTTTATTTTGTAGCCAATTTTCTCCTCTATCGAATGGTACCAAGATCAAAAATAAATATTTATTAAATCCAAAGTTACAGGATTTTAAGTTTGTGTGGTCCACCACTCCGTTAACCTCTCTCCCCTTTTACTAATTTTTCCATTTTTTTCCGATTTTTCTTCCCTATTTTTCCATTTACATTTTTCTGATTCCTGACTTTTCTTTCTTTAAATCTCCCATTTTTACAAAAACACAAATTATTTTTACTAATCATTGTCTTCATTTTCCTTCCCATAATCATCATTATTATTCTCTTTTACCTTCCCCCTAAAAACAAAATTGGCCTTCCGGTGATGACTTGAGCGGAATAATTAGCGTGGGATTGCATCTTTTTAGGACACTGATGGTTATATAATGGGGATAGGATGGTAAAGGTATTAGAGTCAAAATGGGGAGCATTAGGGTCTTCCAAAGGGATTTTGTGGGACGAAAATCATAATTTTTAGTT